CAACTACAATATTCAAAATATATTATAATATACACAGGATTTTCCAAAATGCACGTAGATAGCTGGTGGGATCTTACTTAGACATGGAATACCCCGAAAACCTCTGTGTATATTATCTAGCGAGTACATACATTCGAACATCAGGTTTGGAATTTTTTATTATATGAATATATAGTGCCGGACAACTACAAATTCAAAATAACTATGTATACACAGAATTTTCCAAATGCACGTAGATAGCTGGTGGGATTCTTACTTAGAACATGGAGGAACCCCCAAAACCTCTGTGTATATATATATATAGCGATGTACATACGATTCGAACATCAGGTTTGGAAAGTTTTTATTATATGAATATATAGTGCCGGACAACTACAATATTCAAAATATATTATATATACACAGGATTTTCCAAAATGCACGTAGATAGCTGGTGGGATTCTTACTTAGAACATGGAGGAACCCCAAAAACCTCTGTGTATATATATATATAGCGATGTACATACGATTCGAACATCAGGTTTGGAAAGTTTTTATTATATGAATATATAGTGCCGGACAACTACAATATTCAAAATATATTATATATACACCGGATTTTCCAAAATGCACGTAGATAGCTGGTGGGATTCTTACTTAGAACATGGAGGAACCCCCAAAACCTCTGTGTATATATATATATAGCGATGTACATACGATTCGAACATCAGGTTTGGAAAGTTTTTATTATATGAATATATAGTGCCGGACAACTACCATATTCAAAATATATTATATGGAGTTCTTGGTGTAAGTAGATCTCTTCTAAAAACTAAGTGGGTCTTTGGAATTGGGAACAGAAATTGCACTGGTGTAGCTTTACTGCTCAGGAGGGCATGGCATGGCATGATGGATGAATCAACAACCTGACCCCATTGGACTCAACAAGGTAACCATTACTTTAGGACCTGGGAATTAACAACCTTTTAGACTTTGACAACCTGAGCACAAAGTTCTCAACCACTTTAAGGGATTTTAGCAACCTTGACTTGGATCGGTCAGCAATGGTGGGGTGGCGTTGTTCCTCTTCATCATCTTCCTCATCAGCCGCTGGTGAGGACAAACCATAATAGTGAAGCAGTGATTACAGTACTTGGGAACCGAGTAGAAATGCCATATAATTCCATGTCTATGCCATTTTGTCAGGAGTTTGCAGGGATGACTGACAACCAGATGAAGTACACGGAGATCGGCCCACTTTTTTTTGCCCTTTTTGGACTTTTGGTCGCACCTGAAAACTAGTTGACTTCCCTGATGTCCTGGTTTTCTTCCAAGCCATCCCAGCTGAGGACTTGGGACTTGGTTCACTGGCCTGATGGATGAGTTCACATATGCCAGTGACTGCACCTGGTCTTTATCTAAGAGCCACCCATCACTTTATTCCATTCTTCAAATTTTGGCCTTCTCCATTTAAGGTAGTGGGGTGGACGCGCCCTACATGGCTCTGAAGATGCTTTTTGCTGCAGCTGGCAGTGAGAATCTCTTGCGCTATGCGCCACTCTCCTGAATACATACACTTATATACGTGGGTGTAAAATATATTGTAAATATATCATATTTATATATATATTATATAAATATGTCTTATAATACATATATAATAAATATAAATATAATAATATAATACAATATAATATAATGTACTGTAATGATATAATAATATTATAATATATATTATATATATAATATAATGCAATATAATACAATATAATAAAATATACTATAATAAAACATATATATCTATATAATATAAATTTGAATTGCATTGTGTATATATTGGGTATGACATAATTATGTATGTATAATTATGGACATACCCCCAATTTTCAAGTGACCTGTCCTCTCCCATTTCTAGAGATCAGCTGAGGACATGTTCTGAGAGCAACCCGGTCTGCCGTGATTTTCTTCGACGTAATTTTCCAGAATGTGAACAGCTTCTGGGCATATAAGAGGAATGTGTACCTGGAAAAGCAACAAACAACTTCATTGAGAGATAAAACCACATTAATCCCTTTACTATCACCCAAGGTTTGGAAATGACATCTTGACCAAGCGAGTGGCTTGGTTGCGGGGACAGGCAGGGAAATACAACTCCAAGCTGAGCATGATTCTTTTTTACATAGTGAAACCAATTCCCAGTGCCACTGTGCCAGGTCAGCCTATATGTGGTGGGCTTTCCTTGCAAGCCTTGGAGTATTTTGAATAATCATTCAAGGGCATTCCAGGATAAGAACAGCAAGCCACTCTTCCAAACTGTGCGCAACATACGCTCAACGCGACCATGTGTTACTTGACTTTTTTAATGATTCAAGGTGTCTGAGAACATAATGGACATTAATATGCAAAAAAAAGACTTTGATTTCTGTTCTTGCAACTCAGGTTGCCATCCTGGAAAATGTTATGGGCCTGGCCAAATATGTATCGAGAATTGTGGCACTGATTGAGCGGAATGTCTCCGGGTACCTTGATTAATAGAAACCCACACATGTATTCATCTCCGGGTACCTTGATCAAATTCCAGCTGAGGTATTTCATACTCGTGAAATGCGTGAACCCGACACTTGGTGGCAATGGCACTGGCAACAGGGAGTTTGGCAGGTTTTTGCTTTGGGCAATTTGGGTACAACCTCATTACATGCAACATCAGCCAAGGTGCGCATATGGGGCACCAATTAGCAGAAAACGGCTTTTCATCATTATGGTGAGACGTGATTGCCTGAAGGAAGGGCTCTTGGATTCAGAGCTATTCTCAAACTTTTGGGATGAGATTGCTGGCAATGTGGGCATGTCCTGTGATCCAGAATTCACATGGTAACTTGTCTGTAACTGTAGTAACTGTACTTTGTCCTGACTGAGGATTGATCAATTTGAGAGTTGGTTTCCCCTATTCTTCCCTTATTCCTTTTGCTCAGGTCATCTCTTTTATTGCCAAACTCCCATGCTACTGTTCGTGAAGATCAGCAGAGCCGCCGGAAGCTGCACCATGAGCATGCTCAGAAGCACCTTGGTAAAACAGGGCTTCCATTCAATTTTAGAAGGTATATCATGCAGTAACTTCAACAAACTGGTTTAACCTACTTACTGTTACTGTACTGTTACTAAAAAATGTGCATGGCCGACCCACTTGGCAGTATTGTGCATTGAGGCCTGTGAACATCACTGCCAAGTGGATCAAACACCATCGGAAGTGGGCACAAGAACACCAGGTGCCCTGCCAACCAGTAAAATGATTTAGCAAAGCCAAGTCAAAGTCCATTTCTTGAAGTTTGATCCATTCAGGGGCTCCACAATCAATTTTGGAACATTCTTAGGTTCAAATCAAAGACTCCAAGGGCAAGTTCGCTGAGCTTGCCCCTGCAGCTGCAGATTGTGTCACTTCCCGCCGGGAAATGCAAGCTATTTGGCTGCATCTCTCATGTCTTTCATTGCCAAGGCACCAGTAATCATAGAGCTGTCAAGAGCTGAGGCATTGAACCTGATGGCTTTGTGCTTTGACCAGTTTCCAGCTGCAATCAACACATCCCAATCTTTGGGGAGGATGCCTACGACCCAAAGTGATGAAGATCACCTGTTCTGCCTAACGCCATTTCCTTAGCATACTTGTTTCATGGAATGGGCACACAAACTGTTATGTTTTTAGGGGTCAGCTTCATGAATGATGATTACCCATTGGCTAGCTAAGGCCCCATGGAAAGATTCTGGTGTTGACGGATGACAATGAGCGATATCTTCTTGGAAGGGAGATCATGGTCCTTATGGGGTACCCACTGCATAAAGTTGAGATTGATCAGTACACTGAGATGGACACTTTGGCTGGGAATTGGCTTGAATATACGGCTTGAAGCCAGTACATCGGATTGGGATGGGCTGGAGACATCCCCATTTTTCAAAATTGCTTAAGCCACAGCCACCATCTTATTTTCACGGAACTCTGTGCCCCTGAGGAACTCCATGAAATGGGTGGAAATAGCATTGCTCTGAGGGCTGCTATGGCAGTGATTTGCGCGACTTTGTGTGCAACTGACCCGGCCAAGATGGTGTTGCGCCGTCAGTGATGGAAAAAATGGATTATCAATTCAGAACAATCTAATTTCAAGGGAATGGCAAGTTCATTACCAGGGTTGTCAGCTCTTGTGCCAGGAGAAACCTTTGTGAATTTAGGCCCATCAGTAGTCTAGGGGCGGCATGTTCAGACATGCCGATTTTGGGACGCTGGGATGATAGCAATGTTGAGCATCCTTCACGATGGCGGTGTTCCTCTTCGTCTCCAAGTGAGCTACTTTTCTAAGTTAACTGTACCAGTCATTGTTGCCAAACCAATCATTTATGAAGACCCTGGGTTCCATTTTCAGTAAAGCCAACCCCATTAAGGTCAAGGGGCCAAAGCTGCTCCTCCTATGACAGTGGAAGTAGTGACTATGATGATGATGATGATGATGATGATGATGATGATGATGATGGGTCATCTACATGCTCTTTTACATCCACATCACACCAAGATGAACCGGAAGAACCCCAACAATTGGACCTTTCTTTGTGGCGGCTTCAGTCCCTTCATGCATCTGGGAAAGGTGACCCTGAGAAAATGAGTAAGTATTCCCAATGTGGTATGTCCCTTGTTCGGATCAAGGCTGCCTTGGAGGACCCAGCCTGTGAGTGCAAGTGTTCTCTTCCGGTCAAGATCTTGGCCACCATATGCAAATCCTTCTGGAGCCTCCGAAAGGAGGTGCAGGATGCGTTGCTTTGGAGCTTACAAATGGAGTCGGGTAGATCATCCAAGAGAACATGGTCCATTGGAGGTTTTTTCATGGGACCAAAATTCAAGTTTTCTCTGAACGATTGCTTCAAAATATGTTGCGTATATAATATGTTATATAAAAGGTTTACTTATTATGTATGTTTAAATTTATGATGTATAACTAAACCATATCATATTAAATAATATATATCATATTCCAATAATGGGCTATTCCACTTCCCCTGAAGGCCATCAGGTTTGCCGACAAGCTTGGTTCCATCTAATGGGTGCTGGAAAGATGAGAATGGCAAGGTGCAAGAGAACTTTTCATGGACAAGACAAGAGAATGATTGGTGGTCATGGGGGAACCTTGGTTTATATGTGGAAGGGATCCAATGTTCTTATTTGGCTCAGTGAGCTACCTAAACCCATAGTATACCCAATGTACTTACTTGCTAACGATCTAAACAATATCACTTATTCTTCCCAGGACCTCACAGCCATCCAGCCGAGAAGACCGCCCTCTGCAAAGCCTTCTTCATTCACATCTACTGGTCGGCAGGAGAGACTATGACCACTTCGTGCCTCAGCAGCAGGTGAGCCATGCCATGGGTTAGTGAATGAGTCAATATGAGTCATCTACATCTTAATGCAGCCTGATGCCATTGTAAGGGATGCGCCCAAGTCTATGCTAGAAGCAAACGATGATGACATGAGGGAGGACCTCTTCCAGCGTCTCATAGATGCAAAACTCATGGGTCCGACAATGCAACTGTCAAACACTGATCCTGGGAATCTTCCAACACGGGAACTACCACATGGCAATGTTGCAGAGCTATACATGGTTTTTGTTGCGTTTTGTGGCAACAAAACACCAGCAAGTAGGGCCTGTTTCTACAAAGAGGCAAAAAGATGGAAACAGTGTCTGCGTTTTCGGAGACCTCTGGCACATTCTTTGTGTAAGACATGCTCACAATTGCAGGCTGCTTTGTCCAATGCCACTGAACCAGGGTTGCATTGAAACAATTTGTGATTTTTTTTGACAGGGTATTGTCAACAAATGGTTTCTGTGCCATTTATCTTACCTGTGACAACCTGACTGGCCAATCATCAATCAGGATTTTTTACAGCATGCCAAGATAGCAGACAGGCTGCTTGGCCACTACTGTCAGCAATGGAAAAATCGGGAATCCTACTGGCTTGCCCGAAGTCGGGCACAACAAGTTGGTGATCCCTGTTGTATGATGATTGACTCGTACGACAAAGCCAAGTGCATGCTACCGAAATTTCCCAGGGGACGAACGCCCAAGCAAGTGATCTATGAATCAGTAAAGCGTATCTGATCCAATTTCAGTTTGTTATTTTTAACCTGTATCTTAGTCCTGGTTGTGCTTCTCCTCTGGAACGGTCGTGTCAAGGTACTTCCCTGACTTTGACTTGCAGCCTGATTCATGGATTTGGCGTGTACATCTACTTGGCTGATGAAGGACTTCCTTGTGGGGCCAACTGGACAATCGAAGTAGTGACTTGTTTGGTGCTTTCTTAGAGTGGTTTGGAACTTGTGGTTTAGATCCGGAATCCATTGGTGTCAACACAGACTCAGCTAGCTTAGGCAATGAGATCGCTCAACCGTGCATTCGAAAAAGCTCGCAGGGACCACAAGACGTTTCCCTATGAGTGTTGTTCTCGGTCTCACACTCTTGCAGTATTACCTTCTCCTTCTTTTCGGGGGCATGTTACATGGGGCTTGTAAACTGTGATAAGGTTGTGGCTCCAGGGGGACAATGCACCGAAGGAATGCCGCAATGTGTCAATGGCAAAATGGGCAATTGCCCTCGTCCAAGGGGGGTATTTCAAGCAAGTGTCAGAGTGCTTTTTGGAAGTGGGGCACACGCACGAAGATGTAGGCAGGGTTAGCTTGGTTTATACTAAGCAGAAACTAGCATCACTACAAAGTTCTGTGGTGGTTTATGCATCAAAAAACAGTTTAATTCCTGTGGGTGACCCATACTGACCCTGCAGATGCAGTGCTGTCGGTGGTGCGTTCAGCTTTAGCTTCCTGCCCTGATCTGCAAACCCCACGCGATATACAAAGGACCATGTTTCAAAAAATATAAGTGTTTCAAAATTTAAACTTATAAACCTTTTGTCCTGATGCTTATGTAGCACTGGCCCCAAGGACTGTGGAGCTCAAACTTGGCAACTCCTTTGAGAGACATGGGATGGAGGTGATTGTGGAAAAGGTCGACACCGCACCTTGTCTCTTTACCCTGTGGATTTAATTTCTTGGCCCAAGTAACCCTAAATGGAAGTACCCTAAGAACCAAATGCTAAGGCCCGGGACTGGAACAAGCTGTTGCCCAACTCGATGACCTTGAAGAATGCGTTTGTCAACCGGAAACCCAAGAATGACAACCCTGAAGATGTGACGAAGGTTCCCCAATCATTTACATATGTTGCTCGATCAGGCAGGTTTGAATCTCAAGCTTTTGAAGTTGGAAAGTATGAGTAATTACATATCCGTCACCACTGCCATGTTCTTTACCCTTCCTAAATCATGCTACCCTGCCAGACATTCCTGGACATGTGCAAACTGAAGAACGGCTTCCAATTCGTTTGCGGCAAGCTGGGCGGTCCCGGGATGTCTTTGCTTTGGTTAAAAGCCAAATGTCAGACCTACACCTGTCCCAGCCACCCCTACTTGTGCTCCCGGAGTCTTTGATCCATGAGACAGAAAACTTTTTCAATGCTGCCAATTCAACCAGTCATGTGATCCAGCAAAGTTTGGAACCAGAAAGGTGTGAAGAGTTGCAACGGTTGTCTGCTGCATTTCAGCAGGACTACAACCATTTGAATCGTGCTGTCAACTATTACAAAGATTTGGTAAATCCAAATCGATTTCGGTTTCCATATACCAAATTGGAGTTTGTGGCTGCAGGACCTTCCGCCCATTTGAGGTTAGGGGAGATCCAGCTTGGGGCCAGACCCCCTCCACCAAAGCCACGGCATTTGCAGGTTGTCTTTCACCGAGCCTAGATGCACGCAGGGGTGACATGCATCAAGGAAACAATGGTGCTCAGCCAGCCAATACTCAATCCTCTTGCACTTGAATGGTGTCAACATGGTAGCATATTTCCAGTTGTTACGTCTGTCAACTGCCCAATTGTCATGTTAACTTCTTGGCAACCTCATTTGCTCAAAAACAAGGGTGTAGTACTTGCTAGGGCTGGCATTGGCTGCCATGGCTGAGCCTGATGGGACTCCCATGTTGGACAAAATTTGTGCCCACTTTGATGGAGTCATATCCTCAGAAAATCATCTTCAATTGATATTATATGTGAATCCAAGTCAAACACATGGCGTATAAGATTAACACTGACATTCCTTTACAGCCCATGCATTCTCAGGTGATCGAGAAAGGCAATTTCGGGGAATATGTCAACACAGTGTTCTCAACTCCTCAAAAGCTTGACCAGGCCATGTCCCAAAATATGAATAGCAGTTTTCCGGTTAGTTTTCCTACATATTGGTGGGTTCCTTTATAAGATATGAACCAGATCAAACCCTAAATAGACTATGTCTTATGTGTCAAGGATTCATGTCCCTTGTTTGAATTCCATCCCACACACAGGCCCTGAAATTCTATGATTCTATGTCCTGGACCGCTTTGATCCTGAAGGACGTGGGAAGCCAACACTTGCCTTGGTGCCGCAGTCACACTTGAAGGAGTTCTGGCTCCCACTCAGTGCTTTCGACATCTCAAAGGATGCAAAGAACGGATGCCAGGGATTGGGGAAAGTTTGGGTACGTTTGAATTTTAAAAAAGGGTCTGATTTTAGGAAACAGTAACCAGGTAACCCTCCAAAACCTAATGACAAGTATTGCCATGTTCATGGAAAACTGAATGAAACCCTGCAGTATTTCCGTCCAATGTTGGCTTTGAGCTGCACTTCAAGGAGTTTTTGCATTCAGGGTATTTGAGTTCAAGAGAGAGCATTGAAACAAAATTTCCCTTCACAGACAGTACCAGGGCCATCAAGCCGCACACTGTTGGATGTGTTGATGGGTTCACCAAGATCTTATGCATGATTGGTGTGATTGCCTGCTGCGCTGAACTCGTTTCCTAGTTGGAAAACCATGCAACTTTTGGGCTATTGTTCAGGGACCCTGAAATACCTTGAACATTCTACTTTTCTTTGATAATTTACCTTGGGGAGAAAGAAATTTGAGATGCTTCCGCCTACACTTAGGATGTGAGCGAGGAACAATGTGAAGATGCTGGGTTGAACCGCTGCTTGGAAAGCTTCCGGTGGGTGAGATGTGCATACACCCATTTCAGCACCCCATCACATCACTTTTTACATAGCTTGAGAAACTTTGATGCACTAAGACCATATTTGTTTTGCCAATTTTTCCCCATCCAACATCATCTAACCATGCCTTTACCATCACCTTGCTTGGTATGCCCAACCAAGAACTGGGGCACACCACTGCAGAGAAACAGTAGCCATCTCCACTGCAGTTCCTGGCAGACTTTCGAAATGCGATTAATATTGAGAAGAGGCTGGCAAAGGCAGGATCGAAAACCAATCTCAAAGACCTTCTGGCGAAGGTGGTCGCAGAGTACAACCGTTTGTGCACTGTAAAGCATCACCGTGTGGACACACACCGGAGACAGTTGATCTACAACATGTTCCAAGGCTATTTCTAGACAGAACATTGTTTTGGCAATAGGTTTCCCAATCTTTTCCCCAATTTGTATAAAATAATTTAAGTTATGATAGCAGCCCATAGCAATTGAGGAGGGTTAACAAGTCTAGCTGCCACGACCCAGGTTGCGAGCACCAGCTGCTTTCTGCTCGGTGGTGGCCCAACATTATGATCTTCATGCCCATGCTTCTTCAGGAGATTGGTAACAGGGGTTCTGCTGTTGGCTCAAACTGTTCCAATTAGAACCTTTCAGAAGAAACTAGGTGGTTGGAAAAGTATCACTGTATCACCCATTCATTCATCCCTGAAGGCTTGACGGTGGATGTGCTCCAGAGTGATTTTTGGGTGCCACAATCCACAACAAGGGCTGACAGTCCTCAATTCAGAGGCAAGGATGTCTTCCGGGAGATCCTGACGCCGACAGATGAAACTGCCACATTGTATGCCATGAGGGCAACAGAGGCAAGGGTTTCAGTCTAACATTAATCATTTTTTGGGATACACCACACAATACAAAGCGTTTGAACCCAATAATAATAGTATAATATGATAAAACTATCATAACTACTTTCTGGCAAACTATCATAAACAGATAGGGGTTGGACGAATTGTTCACTAAAGCATGGTGATTCATTCCCAGGGTCTATGTTAATTTACTGGAGGGAATATACTAGTATCTTCCAATCAAAATCATGTATCATGAAGATGCCAGTTCATGCTGATTATGCTGCCCCATTGCCTTCCCTGTCCTACAGGATTTCAATCGCAAAGTGAGCAAGACATCGACCAACAAACAGAAGGAGACCAGTCAGGGTTTTGTTTGAAAGGGTTAAATGGGATTAAGTGGTCCAACACTAACTGTTTCAGAATTTTGTCAAATTTTGTTTCCAATATGGCTTGCTGTTGCTCCCTGGCAGAAAACAGCCCAGCTGGATGAAGCTTCCCACATCACTTTGCATGATGCAGTCTGTTTGTGGACCTGGTTGCGTCCGAAACTGGCAGCTGAGTTTCCAGGCCATGTCTGTCAGAGACATGATGATCTTTTCCTGAAAGGGTGCCTTGGGTCAAGGGTTGGCTGGCGCCAAATGCAACTCTTGAAAATCATGGGGTTTTCAAAAACCCCGTGATTTTTTGAAGATCACACTTGGCTGGTGCCAATTACCCAAAAACCCTGAAAAACCAATCACATTTCAGATGGGAAAACTAAGATCAGATTATCAAGGGGTTTCTGGAAACCACGTCGCAAAAGTAATGAAAACGGAGGAACCAATCAAACCGTTGATCTTTTTCAAGTTGGGTCAATGTGATTGGTTCGCCCCAGACCCAGCCAATCATCAAGGGGGTTCCAGAAACCCCGTCATATTTTGAAGTTGGATTTCAGGTGGTAAATGTGATTGATTTTCCAAGTTTTTATGGAATATTCAAACAAAAACTAGTTTTGGGTATTTTTGATGTATTGTGATTCCATCTGGAAAATTCTAACCCCTCTGGATCATGAATATAGTTCATTTAGATTTTTTGGGTGTATGATCATACCAGATAGGTTCTATAGAATTCTTATTGGGGTCACTGATTTACCACAATTCAAACAACCCTTTGTGGTTCTGGGGCCATTGCCTTGCTCTAAGGACATTGGATTCCGACCTGAATGCAGTCATGAAAGCTGCCGACTCTGACTTCGACTGGAAACGGATTAGCTTTGTGCTGGAGGCTGGATCTAACAACTTTAATTTATGTGCCAGTGATATCATTAAATTGGTTGTAGGGCCCAGGTGCAGTTTGCATACTGTAGCAGGGTGGCTGATGAATGGAATGTCATTCTTGGAACAAGACTTT